TCCTGTGCCGTGCCGACCTTCATAGGTGGTGCTCGCGAGCAAAAACGTGCCCCCCACCGCCACCCCCAGGTCTGTTCAGGCTACACGGGGAATCTTTGGCGCGTTCTCCCCCTCGTTCAGCACGGGGTTGCCTCCGGCATCTCGTTTTGCACCCACGGCTGAACAAGATTTGTTCTCAAAAAAACTGACGTGCCGCACACGCAGAATGTAACAACCGGCTTTGTGTTTTTTTTTGTTTGGACCGAACGACATCGCCATTAACACAAAGCTGAACCCGCAACAACCCCCCCCCAAAACTGCGAATACGTGACCTCTATCCCACCCCCCCTCCTCCTCCCCCGGTACATTACAGCGGAATAAGCGGCGTTATGGAATGCCGTTCGCGTGAACGACGCTGCATTAAATGCAACTCTGCGGTCGAGTTCTCGTTGGTTCTCTCGGTAAAGCCACGTGGTGGGTATAAAAAATAAAAATAGATCACGTGACGTTTCGATCGCAACACGCGCCACCGTCATCAGGTGGGACGACGACGGCAAGAAACAACAGCTTACTCTTTGGTTCTATTGGGTAAAGTCACGTAGGTAAAAAAAATAACAAAAATCACGACGTTTCGACCACAACACAAGTGGCCTTCATCAGGTGAAGGGACCTCCGGACAGGTTGGTCACGAAAGCTTAAAATCTAGAATTAAACAACAGCTTGCCGAAGTTGTTGACTTTGAGCAGTTTTGTCTCGCTGTGGTCCGTGTCACACCTGATGACGGTGGCGCGTGTTGCGATCGAAACGTCACGTGATCTGTCGCTGTTTATTTTAGTCTTCTGCTACCTAACCACGCGCTGACTTTAAGCCGAAGAACCAAAGAGAATGGATCAAGGTCGTGAGCTGAGTTGGACCGCGTCGCTTTTTGCGCCTGCAATCACGCGGACCGCACGCGGGCTGTCAACAGCTATGGGGCCGTCCATAAATGACGTCACGCGATTTTTGAGACCCCCCCTCAAATATGACGTCACAAAGCTCTGCCCCCCCCCCCAAAAAAACAAAATTTCCATTTTGAAAATAAAACATGCTTCAAATCGCTTTAAACTATTGTCATTGTAGTGCGTATCTAAAGTGGTGATTCTATATTTATTTATTCTATATTTATTTAAAGTTGCGCATTTTGATGTGACGTCACATTTCTAAACCCCCCCTCCCCTCCTCGTCACACATCGTCACAAATGTCTGACCCCTCCCCCCCCCCCAGGTGCGTGACGTCATTTACGGACGCCCCCTGAGTCACGGCCACGGTTTGAATCTCCCCGTCTGACGTCACAACGTGACTCTGGCTGCACGAGTCGAAACTTCACGTGACCATTTCCCCCCACGTGACCCTCCCTCCCCCCCTTCATCCCACGTCGGATGCGCTTCTGCTATTAAACACCGTCGTGAAACGGAGCCCCCCACCCCTGGGTTGTTGTGTCGTCGGTTTCACTCACGTGACCGTCCACATTGGGCGCACGATCTTCGTTTGTTCACGAAGTGTGAGGAACCTCGTGCCCGGTTGGGAGGCCGATGGCTGGCAGTAGCAGCAGCTGCAGCTGCGTTGGCGGTCCAAGCACGAATGTCGACTCCTGTCACGCCACGTGATGATGCCTTGCGAAGAGGGATCGCCTGTTTGAGAATGTCGTGGCTTGGCTCTACAACACACCGGTGTAGTGCTGGACTAGTATACTACACTATACACTACACTTTACACTACACTATAAACTACACTATATACTACACTATACACTACACTATATACTACACTACATACTAATGCTGTACTAGTACACTATACACTACTCTATACACTACACTATACACTACACTATTCACTACACTATACACTACACTATAAACTACACTATATACTAGTGCTGTACTAGTATACTACACTATACACTACACTAGACATTACACTATACACTACACTATACACTACACTATACACTACACTACATACTAGTGCTGTACTAGTATACTACACTATACACTTCACCACATACTAGTGCACTAGTATACTACACTATACACTACACTATACACACTTTATACTACACTATACACTACACTACATACTAATGCTGGACTAGTATACTACATTATACACTACACTACACTATATACTACACTATATACTACACTATAGACTAGTGCTGTACTAGTATACTACATTATACACTACACTACATACTACACTATACACTACACTACATACACACTTTACACTACACTATACACTACAATCTTGATTTGAAACTTTCGTGACTGCAGGAATCCATACTCTTTGGTTCTTTCAGTAAAGTCACGTAGGAAGTAGAAAAATAAAATAAATCAAATCACGTCGCACCACACACACACACGTCCTAGCACCACACACACACACGTCCCAGCACCACACACACACACGTGCTAGCACCACACACACACACGTCCTACCACCACACACACACGTCCTAGCACCACACACACACGTCCCAGCACCACACACACACGTCCTAGCACCACACACACACACGTGCTAGCACCACCCACACACACGTCCTAGCACCACACACACACACGTCCTAGCACCACACACACACACGTCCTAGCACCACACACACACACGTGCTAGCACCACACACACACACACGTCCTAGCACCACACACACACGTCCTAGCACCACACACACGTGCTAGCACCACACACACACGTCCTACCACCACACACACACACGTCCTACCACCACACACACACGTCCTAGCACCACACATACACACCTCCTAGCACCACACACACACACGTCCTAGCACCACACACACACACACGTACTAGCACCACACACACACACGTCCTAGCACCACACACACACGTCCTAGCACCACACACACACACGTGCTAGCACCACAGACACACACACGTGCTAGCACCACACACACACACACGTGCTAGCACCACACACACACACACGTGCTAGCACCACACACACACACACGTGCTAGCACCACACACACACACGTGCTAGCACCACACACACGTACTAGCACCACACACACACGTGCTAGCACCACACACACACACACGTGCTAGCACCACACACACACACGTGCTAGCACCACACACACACGTCCCCACACACACACGTCCTAGTATCACACACACACACTTCCTCGCATCACACACACACGTCCTAGCACCACACACACACACGTCCTAGCACCACACACACATCCTACCACCACACACACACACGTCCTAGCACCACACACGCACATCCTACCACCACACACACACGTGCTAGCACCACACATACACACGTGCTAGCACCACACACACACACGTGCTAGCACCACACACACACACGTGCTAGCACCACACACACACACGTGCTAGCACCACACACACACGTCCTACCACCACACACACACACGTCCTAGCACCACACACACACGTCCCCACACACACACGTGCTAGCACCACACACACACACACGTGCTAGCACCACACACACACGTCCTACCACCACACACACACGTCCTAGCACCACACGCACACGTCCTAGCACCACACACACACGTCCCCACACACACACGTGCTAGCACCACACACACACACACGTGCTAGCACCACACACACACACGTGCTAGCACCACACACACACGTCCTAGCACCACACACACACACACTTCCCCGCATCACACACACACACGTGCTAGCACCACACACACACGTCCTAGCACCACACACACACATACGTGCTAGCACCACACACACACGTGCTAGCACCACACACACACACGTCCTACCACCACACACACACACACGTCCTAGCACCACACACACACACGTCCTAGCACCACACACACACGTCCTACCACCACACACACACACGTCCTCCTCACTGCATCGGTTCTCCAACCCAACACAACCATCCCCGTGGAATGTCGTAACGACGATGATGTTGGCGCAAGTCCACACAAAGTCATCAAACTTAAGACGCATTTATCGACAAATTCACTTCGCAACAAACACGAGTCACGTAACCAAATCGCGTTTTCGTAAAAAAAAACTATCCATAAATATATATTTTACGCTGTTGTTTAAGAGTACCGCGCTTCAACGAGTGTTGTACAAAAGTGCGCTCGTATAATAATGAGAAACATTGCCAAACGCGATATCTCTCACTCGGATTGCACCAAAGATAGCGTAAGTGCCATCAGGATCCAGACCTGCAGTGTTTTCTTTCCCCTTATGACGCCCCCCCCCTAACCCACCCAAACCCCCACTCATCGTTAGCAAAAAGCTGCAAGGGATAATGCGATTTAAAAAAAAATATACACGTTTAAAAATACATAAATGCGTGTCGTGAATCTTGATTTGAAGTTTTCGTCACTGCAGGAATCCATACTCTTTGGTTTCTGCGGTAAAGTCACGTGGGTAGAAAAATAATAGATGACGCCGTTTCGATCGGAACACGGGCAAATCGTCATCAGGTGGGACCTACGTGACTTTACCGAAAGATTTAAAGCTTTCGGGACTGCTAGGATCCATACTCTTTGGTTATATTGGGTAAAGTCACGTAGGTGAAAATGTTTTATTTTTATTTTCACCTACGTGACTTTACCCAATAGAACCAAAGAGTATTTACCGAAAGAACCAAAGATTCACGTGAATCTCTTTAGATTCCAAAGAGGTTTGCCCTTCACGCGACGCCGTTCGTGACGCGTCTCTGGACCCTGAGAGGTGACCGCGTTGTCTGCTAATGATCTGGTGACACTGCCGCTGCTGCTGCTGCTGCATGTGCAGTGGGTACACAAGCACAAACAACAACAACAACCTAAACATGGGGGTGCATTCAAATGAGTGCCGCTGTGGTGTGCGATGTACAACCCGACGTGGAAAATCTGCGGAGAGGAAGATCTGAATTCTCGCCGACGTTGGCGCGTTCCACTTCATTCAGCCTTTGCGTCAGCAGAAACGGATTGTTCTTTTTGTGTGTGTGTGTGTCTGAATGGCTATGGTTTTAAAAGTACATTTGTGTATTCTTAGCTCTTTCGGTAAAGTCACGTTGAAGGGAAACAATAAAATAATAAAATATATATAAAAACAATAAAAATTCTCACGACGTTTCCCATCAACGTGACTTTACCGGAAAGAGCCAAGAATATGAATTACTGCAGTCAGGAAAGCTTTAAAATCAACATTTATACATTTGTGTATTCATTACTGCCGAACTGTCCAGATCCTTTCTCATCATCATCTTCTTCATCTTTTCGAGTCGAGGAAGAGTCTCGGAACGCCCTGAACCCCCCAGGACTCGGCACCAGTGGGCTCCACCTGCAGGCGCCACGACCCAGCCAGCACCAGCAGCACCAGCAGCACCAGCAGCACCAGCAGCACCAGCAGCACTCTCTTCTCAACCTCACACTCCCATGGGCACCATCAGGAACTCTGTATGGTGGGGCCACACGGAGGAATCGTTCCGTGATGTCTGAACACGCTGACACGCAAGCCGTACATCACCTGATGCGTAGGCTTTTGAGGTTGGCATCATCTCAGCGAGGCAACAACCCACGGCACCCCGGGTCTGTCCCCGCGAACCCGCCAGCGGGCCGTTCACAAATTCACGTGACAGCCTCAAAGTGCACCTAGCCTGGCGCAGACGCCGCGGCGATTAGCGCGGTTGGCTACGGTACGGCGCGAGGGAAGCTCAGCATGCATCGTGACGAATTGCTGCTGGTGTCTCCTCAGTCGACACACGGCCTCCCAGGTATGTCATAGCGGTACACCACCAGCTGCTCTTGCATTCACGTCGAGACCCACCGACTCGCATAGATCCCCATAGCTAGCAGCGTACCACCTTGAGCTAGGCGCGAGGTGTTTACAAAGATCTCCCCGTATAGCCTTAACAGACTCTTGGGGCAAGTGCTTTGAACGAGCACCCCACAAACAAACACGCCCGCGTACGTACGTGCGGGTGAAGCTGCCGCTCAGACTTCTGTCTCGTCTGTGTCCACGTGGGCAGTCTCGCGCGTGTCCACGTGGGCAGTCTCGCGCGTGTCCACGTGGGCAGTCTCGCGCGTGTCCACGTGGGCGACTTCGTCGGTGGAAAATGGGTTTGGCAGCATCCTCTTGGCAGCCGTAGCTTCACAGAGACGCTGTCATCGCAGAACCGTCAGTCACGTGTCATCGACCACCGCCGTTGACGATTCGCCACGCGCGATCCCTCAAGGGCAAAGCACGGGGACATTTGTGCACCCGCTGTGCTGCCAGTGGTCAGATTGAGTGCAGAAAAATGCAATAAACGGGCCTAATGGTGACATTTCGGATTGACGCGGGTTTTTATTTACTTATTTAAGATGTAAATGCGACATCACAGGAAGTGCCGCTCTAACTAACTGTATTCACAAATCAGCACTTAACTGCAAATCACAATAGCATTAAAAATGCACCATCGTAAATCGCAACGTACACCTCAGCATAATTGAGGAAAGCCTCATTTATACCAATCAACAAACAGTCGCCTCGCTGCACCAATCCACCCTGCCAATCAGCAAGCGGCAATCGACTCTCATTACTAAACGGGTCACGTGCGCGGCTGCCCTTGTGACGTCACGGCACCTACTCGAGAACCCAGATGGCGAGGCGTCGTTCACGCGAAGAGAGACGGTGATGCTGCTGATGATGCTGGTCGTAATCGCCACCGAAACGTCGGGACAAAGTTGCCAACGTTTTGCGAGCTCTCAGATATTTCGCCGGTTCGCCGATGCAACCCGAATCAAATCGTGCGAATTTGCCCATGACGTGACAAACCTGATTGGCTGCCTTTGGATGGTGGACGGGTTTATTATTCCCTACACAGTGATCTCACCCGAAACAAACGCCAATTGTGAATCGGTCCCCAAGACGGTGGTGGAAAGTCCACACATGACGGGGTCAAGCTTATCCAGAGGACAACCGCTGGTGACTTCCGCGCAAAGTGGTGCTAAGTTTATCGACCCCAGAAGGATGATGGGCTGAGTCAACCCCCCCCCTCCCCTCCCCCCGCCCTCTTCCGACTGTGCCATGCAGCACCAATCTGTGGCTACTTGACATCAACAACAACAACCGCCATTCGCCACTAAGTGGCGGTGATGTCACTACGACGCTTGTGCCAGGCTAGGTGCACCTTGAGGCCACGTGGAGTGTCGAACGCTCGCCGGCAGGAGGTCACGGGGCACACCCAGCTGCACGGGTCGACTGACATGGACCAGTCAACGCAGCCTTGCCTGCCGGAGGAGCTCACCGATGGGACTTTGTCCACATCTTTCAAGGATTTGTGAGATCCTCACACAATCCAGCCTGGTTAAACCCAGGATGGATCGTAGGCAGGCCAGTCTAAATGTTTCTAATCGGCGAAGATGTTCCATTAGGGGGGTCCACGTTTCGCAAGCGTAGAGAAGGGAGGGAATGACAGTGGCCGAGAAGACCTGAAGCTTTGTGCGGAGCGACAGACTAGGTAGCTTCCACACAGCGTTACGCAACCGATGAAAAGATATTGCCGCTCGACTGATTCGGAGTGAGACCTCTGTTGTTAAACTGGAGCCGGTCATAAGCACACTGCCCAGGTATGGGAAACTCTCCACTCTCTCCACAACTGCCCCATCACCAATTGGGAGTTGTGGGGGTGGAGTGTCCGATGGAACAAAATACCCAGGCAGGTGCTTAGTTTTGGTGGGGCTGATGGTAAGGCCCCACCTCTTGGTGGCAAGCTCCAGGTTCAGCAGCAGCGCCTCCAACTCCTCCTCTGAGTGAAGAGCAATTACCAGATCATCGGCATACATAACGTGGTTGGCCAATAGGGAGCCATCCCTTGACCGCACCCGGGCATCGATCATCCTCCCATTATATCTGTACCAGATAGAAATTCCTCCGGTAGAGCTATTGACGATATCTATCACAACAACACCACCACCACCATTCTCATTGAATTCCGGGTGTCCTAATCGGAAGGGAAAAAAAAATGTTCCTTGTTGTAAGGGCTACGGGGAAGAAAGCCGACGTTTTAAATGAACAATGAGACCTGTTGGGTATCTGAAAGCATTCCATTATATATCATCAAGGCATATCACAGGTCTGTCACTTACAATGGTGAGCGAGCGAGCGAGCGTGCCTATGTGTGCTCATTCAACAAGAATGGCGACAGAGCGAGCAAGCGCCCGTGCTTGAATGCAGCATTCCATGCCGTGAAGTCACGTGGGAGACACAAGCAGCACAAAGATAAAGGTCCCCCGTTTGGCCTTTAGCCAGGCTGCTGGGCCAAGTGCCGTCGTACGAACGCCTGCACGGCACACGCCCGGCAACAAATGTCCTCCCCCCAATGCTGACGTTTTGCACCCCGCAAAGCAGGTACGTGCTCATTTAAGTCTGAGTCGACCTAGGGGAGGCCCAGTGAGCGGTTGGCTCAAACCTCGCGTCGCTGGTAGCCGCGAGTGACGTTGGGACGTGTTTGTTCAGCCCCCTTGTACAACGGCTTGCCATTGACGGCACAAATTGTCATTTATATTATAACTAGCCTTACTACCCGGCTTCGCCCGGGGACTTGGATTCACCACGCCCGGCCGCCTTTGTCTCCCCAGTAGCGATGTTCACACAGCAGAGCAGTTACTCGTTTGAGGCTGAGTCGACCTAGGGGAGGCCCGGTTAAAATAATCGTCACCGGTGATGGCCATGAGCGGGAATCGAACTTGGGTCGCCGGGTTCGTAGCGCGGTGTAGCGCTAACCGCTACGCTACAATGCGTTACGCTTCCACGTGCGAGGGTCACGTGACAGACGTGACGTCACAGCTTCACTTGCCGTGTAAAATAAATATGCATTATTGAGCTCCCACCCCCCTAAAAAAAAAGTGTATTTGTATAATGTTTGCATGGTGTACAGTCTGGAAAGTTCCCACATGGCAAAGTTCAAGTTTGTTGCATGTCGGGAAGTACGCTAAACATTTTGAACAGACACACACATTCACAACTTTGACTTTTTTATATATATATGGAGATGACTATTGTTACCATCATCCCTCCCTCCCTCCCTGCGGGGTAGATAAAATCGCTACCGCTTTGCGGTGAGCGAACGTGCCAATTGATTTTAGTTTTCGCATCGATCCGGTCGCGGCGACGTCCGCTTGTGACCCCAGCTGACTTGTCGCGTTTCGATCGTGAAATTCCGCTCAGCGCTGCAGCATTCCGATTAAAGCGCGGAACGTCGGGCCGACGTTTGGCGCAACGGTTCCCACTTCTGCGATGGCCAGGTTGCTCGTGAAGAAGCACAAGTTAAAACCTCAAGTGGGCTTTAGCTGGTAAGATAAAAAAGCACAAGTGAGCTTTATTTGTATTTATTTCTAGGTGATCCGTTCACCTCTCCTCCAATTTCCGTTCGCGTCGTGTTTTTGTACTGTTTGGTGTCGTAACATTCTTAGCCACCCCCGAATGGACATCTGTGAAAGAAAGAGCTTTACAGCTCACCGGATTCCTCCTGCTGATTCTGATTCCGACACCGAAACGTTTGTCCGTTTCTGGTGGTGGAGACCTCGGAGCTCTCCGATGAGCACGGCTGGCGACGTACGGTGTGAACGAAGTTCAACGCTCGTGCGTCCGTAGCGCACGGCCTTCGCCATCGAGTGCTTGCTGCAGACTCCTCTAAAGCTGTGGCTCTTAACCTGGGTGGGGGTGCGGGATGCCCGTTCTGAGAACCAAAGGGCTGCAGTCAAGGCTAAGGACCAACTGCTCCAAGGGAAATCATTCACAGCCACATTAAGCCCACACCGATCCGACCCGAAAAAAACACCGAGTAACGATTTGTAACGACGACAACAACAACCAAGACATCAACAACAACGACAACAACAACGACAACAACAACAACGGGTGAGAGCTGGGTGCGCGGCGCCTCACCGCCCGCAGCGAGCCCGAGTGCTTGAAGACGAGCGCGTAGACGGCGTAGGCCAGGACGCAGGCGGGGGCGAGGAACGCCAGCGGGACACCCAGGACGTCGGCCCACGCAGGGAAGCCCGGCTCCATGTGGTGGAGGAGCCGCAACGTGACGAGCGTGTCCCCCAGCACGAACTGCGCACGGTGGCGAGACCGACGAGGTAGCGGGTGAGGGAACGCACGACGCAGGGCCGCCAGCGCTACGCGTCACCTGACCGTCCCATCTACTCACTCACTCACCCTCTCACTTACCCACTCGCCGACCCATCCTCCCTCCCTCCCTCCCACTCGCCCGCCCACTCATCCACCTACACACTCACCCATCCGCCCACCCACTCATCCGCCTACCCACCCGAGCACCCACTCGGCCACCCACCCTCCCACTCACCCTCTCACCCACCCACTCAATCACTCACCCACGAATCCTCCCGCCCACTCATCCACCTACACACTCACCCATCCGCCCACCCACTCATCCGCCTACCCACCCGAGCACCCACTCGGCCACCCACCCTCCCACTCACCCTCTCACCCACCCACTCAATCACTCACCCACGAATCCTCCCACCCACTCATCCACCTATACACTCACCCATCCGCCCACCCACTCATCCGCCTACCCACCCGAGCACCCACTCGGCCACCCACCCTCCCACTCACCCTCTCACCCACCCACTCAATCACTCACCCACAAATCCTCCCACCCACTCATCCACCTATACACTCACCCATCCACCCACCCACTCATCCGCCTACCCACCCAAGCACCCACTCGGTCACCCACCCTCCCACTCACCCTCTCACCCACCCACTCAATCACTCACCCACGAATCCTCCCACCCACTCATCCACCTATACACTCACCCATCCACCCAACCACTCATCCGCCTACCCACCCAAGCACCCACTCGGCAACCCACCCTCCCACTCACCCTCTCACCCACCCACTCAATCACTCACCCACCAATCCTCCCACCCACTCATCCACCTATACACTCACCCATCCACCCACCCACTCATCCGCCTACCCACCCAAGCACCCACTCGGCCACCCACCCTCCCACTCACCCTCTCACCCACCCACTCAATCACTCACCCACCAATCCTCCCACCCACTAATACACCTACACACTCGCTCAGCCACTCGCCCACTCATCCGCCTACCCACCCGAGCACCCACTCGGCCACCCACCCTCCCACTCACCCTCTCACCCACCCACTCAATCACTCACCCACCAATCCTCCCACCCACTAATACACCTACACACTTGCTCAGCCGCTCGCTCACTCACGTATGGTTGCACACTTCACTGACCATGTGGTCTGGACGTACCAGAATAAGCAGCGGGGTCACAGACAAGAGGCAGATTTTGAAAAACCACGGCACGTCCCTGTTCAGCATCGCACGCACATCTCGACAGAACGACGAGTACCCTGCACACGCGCACACACAAACCCAGTGTCACTCCACTGCTGGATAAGGGGCTCCCCACGCCCTGTGGGTCGTGGGGGGGGGGGTATGGATGTGTGGGAGTATGTGAGTGAGTTTGGATAAGGCAGTAGAGTAACAATGTTGTTTAAATCTGTTCCGTTTGCTTGGGCTACAGCGTTGCTCCCTCGCACACGTGCGTTCTCCGGGTGCTCAGCTTTCCTCCCGCGTGGAAACGCCCATACATTGGCTGATAACACGTTCATATATAGAGGATTACAGAGCTTGGGGTAAGGGCGGTGGTGGTGTTGGTGGTGGTGGTGAATTCAGCGCGATCTGGCTGCCGCCGCTGCCTTCCCGCTCGTCTGTGGGTCTCTACGTGTGCGGCGACGGCGCTTTACAAGCTGGCCTCATCATCGTTATCGTTTAGCAGGAGTACCGTAGATGAGCAGCAGGCCCACCCACAGCACGGCCGCCTGGAACGGCACGGACACGAGCAGCGTGTAGTAGTCCAGGAAGACGATCCACTGCAGTCCGCCCTGCGAGATTCCAGACAACCGCGCGTCACCATCCCCGTCGCGAACACGCAACCAGCAGGTGGGCTTCACGTCGAGCTGGGATATCAGACGATCTCAGGAATGGATTACCCTGGGTTCAACGTAGAGCGGGATAAAGTGGACTAGCTAAGGAACGGACGTCTCGACCGACTCTCGGCTCCAATATCGGAAACCGATCGAAAACATCTCAGACCGCAGAAGTCTCGACCTCTGCTCCCACACGCGTGCCACCGCACAGGAAGGCGACGGGCGAGGCTCGATGGCACCACCGGCATCATCAAAAGGGGCGCCCGGCGTGACTTCGCTGCTGGTTTACCGCCTTCGGGAGGCGGCCATCGTTTAAACAACGGGCACCGGGCCCTCGAGCGCGACAAAAGCAGTCGATTGCAAGTTTAAGTGGATTCATCGACAGGGTTACGGGGGCTCCTCCTCGACGCCCACGGGACGGGAGTTCCACGACGTTCGTGCGGCGATCCATCAACCCCCCCCCCCGCCGCCTCCAGAGCGCTGGATTACAAGCGGCCGCGTGGAGCGGCGGCGGTAGCAGCGTAGCGACAAACACCGCCGCCCCGACAGCCGCTTCGTTGTGGGGCTTTCATACACGCACATACACGCACACACACACACACGCACACACAACAACAACAACAACAACAACCGCCATTCGCCACTAAGTGGCGGTGACGTCACCACGACGCTTGTGCCAGGCTATGTGCACCCTGAGGCCACGTGAAGTGTCAAACGCCCGCTGGCAGGAGGTCACGGGGCAGACCCAGGTGCCACGGGTCGACTGACTGAGATGACTGGCTGATGCACCACCTGTGCCCCCTACTGTGCCAACCTGCTGTGCTTTAGCCACCCGGCGCTCCGCTCGCGGTTGTGAGCGTCGCTCCTCCGCCCTCCGTTGTTGTTGGAGGGCGACTGCCTCCAACTGCCCAGTAGCATCCTTCACGAGCCTCCTCCACAGAGGCCGATCTTGACACCGCTGGTACCAGTCATCGGCAAGTCCACTCAGCTCCACGTCCTCCTGTACCACATCACTCCATCTCTTCTCTAGCCCGTGCCGCGCCCGCTTAGCCCCCTCAATCCGGCCAAACAAAAGCTGTTTCGGCATGCGGTGGCTGGGCATGCGGGCTACATGACCCAGCCATCGCAGCCTTGCCTGCCGGAGGAGCTCACCGATGGGACCCTGCCCAGATCTTTCAAGGATTTGTGAGCTCCTCACACAATCCAGTCTGGTTAAACCCAGGATGGATCGTAGGCAGGCCAGCCTAAATGTTTCTAACCGGCGAAGATGTTCCATTAGGGGGGTCCATGTTTCGCAAGCGTAGAGAAGGGAGGGAATGACCGTGGCCGAGAAGACCTGAAGCTTAGTGCGGAGCGACAGACCAGGTAGCTTCCACACAGCGTTACGCAACCGATGAAAAGATATTGCCGCTCGACTGATTCGGAGTGAGACCTCTGCTGTTAAACTGGAGCCAGTCATAAGCACACTGCCCAGGTATGGGAAACTCTCCACTCTCTCCACAACCGCCCCATCACCGATTGGGAGTTGTGTGGGTGGAGTGTCCGATGGTACAAAATACCCAGGCAGGTGCTTAGTTTTGGTGGGGCTGATGGTAAGGCCCCACCTCTTAGTGGCACGCTCCAGTCTCAGCAGCAGCTTCTCCAACTCCTCCTCTGACTGAGCAGCTATTACCAAATCATCAGCATACATAACGTGGTTGAGCAATAGGGAGCCATCCCTTGACCGCACCCGGGCATCGATTAGCCTCCCATTATATCTGTACCATATGGAGATTCCCCCGGTACAGCTATTGAAGGCTTCACGAACTACGTGGTCAAAATAGATGTTAAATAATGTGGGAGCCAGAGGACATCCCTGTCGCACCCCAAGGTGTACAGGGAATGGCTCTGACTCCCGGCCACGTAGTTTTACCCGGGCCCGCTCACCATCATGAAGGTCCTTAATGATCGTGAGCAGAGGGTCAGGTACTCCAAAAGCACGAAGAACGACCCAGAGCCCAGGCCTACTGATGGTATCATAGGCCTTGACCAGGTCAATAAAGCAGAGATGTAGGTCTTGTTGGAATTCCCTACACCTCTGCTGTAGCAGACGGACAGAAAATATGGCATCTGTGCAGGACCGCCCTTTCCTGAAACCGCATTGGGGCTCCGCAAGCCTCTCCTCAGCGTGCCTGGCAAGGCGATGCTGAATAATCCTTGCCAGGACCTTTCCCGGCACACTGAGGAGTGAGATGCCCCTGTAGTTGTTACAGTCTGTGCGGTCCCCCTTCTTAAAAAGGGGGACCACCAGGGCATCCTTCCAATCCTGCGGAACCCGTCCAGTGGTCCAGACTGTTGTTATGATGTCATATAGGGCAGTCTGTGCACAAACGCCACCCTCCCTCAGCATTTCGCTTGGGAGATCATCTCTGCCCGCTGCCTTTCCTGGTCTCAGACTCCGGATCGCCTTCAATACTTCCTCAGCAGATGGCACCTCAGCCAGCCACTCACAGGGGGTGACTTCATCCAATATTTGAGGCACCGCAGCCTCAGCAGGGTCATCCTCACTTTGTGCCACGATGTTTTCCTGGCTGAGGGATTTTCCCTCCCCCAGGACCTCACAGAAATGCTCAGCAAATCTGCGAACCTGTTCCTGGGGGTTGGAAATTGGATCACCGTTTTTTTCCCCTAATGATGGTAATAGGTGTGGCGCTGCAGGTTACTTTTTTGATGGAGCTAAATAGAGATTTGTGATCACGGGCCACTGAGGCAGACTCCATCTCCTCAGCAACCCGCGACCACCACCCATCCTTGCAGCGCCTCACGGCTCTCCGAACCTCAGAGCGAAGGCTGCGGTAAGCCTCCTCATTCTCTGACGTGGGATTCTGACGCACACACACACACATACACGCACACACATAAACACACGCACATACACGCACGCACACGCACACACACGCACATAAACACACGCACACACACGCACATACACGCACACACACGCACATACACGCACACACACGCACATACACACACACACGCACGCACACACACATAAACACACGCACACACACGCACATACACGCACACACACGCACATACACGCACACACACGCACACACACATACACACACACACGCACACATACACACACGCACGCACACATACACACGCACGCACACGCACGCACACACGCACATACACGCACGCACACGCACATACACGCACACACATAAACACACGCACATACACGCACACGCACGCACATACACGCACACACATAAACACACGCACATACACGCACACGCACGCACATACACGCACACACATAAACACACGCACATACACGCACATACACACACGCACATACACGCACGCACATACACGCACACACATACACACATGCACATAAGCGCACACACACGCACATGCACGCACATACACGCACACACACGCACATACACATACACGCACACGCACGCACATACACACACGCACACACGCGGCCGGGGGGGTGGGGGGGGAGAAGTCGCCTCTTTCGCCCACGAGCTTCATTGCTAACGAACTATCAACTATTTGTATTTGACCAGGTAAGGCCCCACTGAGCTACGTAGCCCTTTTTACAGAAGCGACCCCCTGGCTCTCGCAAATGACAGCTCGAAAAACAAAGCGGCTCATCGTCACTCGGCGTGGAAATGTAGAGCAGTCGCCAACGACTCCGATGCGCGTTGGCGTTCATTCAAAACGCGGGGGCGTCAGGGTCGGGATCGATCCCGCGACCTCCCGTGTCACCAGCCGAGGATGTTAACATCCCCCCGCCACCGTGGCGCCCAATCGCCGCGGGAGTAACGGGACACGGCGTGGCGCGGCGCGGCATCGCCCAGGCGCGCGACCTCCCGGCCCCGCGCGGTGCCCACCCGGGTGACGAGGAGGAGGCTCAGGAGGAAGCCGGCGAACGTCAAGAGGGCGACCACCAGCACCGTGCGGAGCCGGGCCAGGCCCTGGTACTTGTCAAAGATGGCCGTCGCCAGCGTGAGCCCGAGGCAGAACTGCGGGGCGAGAAACGGCCGCGTTAGAGGGGCAACGCAACGCACGTTATGTGTACCCTGCGCGTACACATAACGTGTGTACACATAACGTGTGTGTACACATAACGTGCGCGAGCACGTAACGTTGTGTGTACACATGTAACGCCGTGTGTACACGTAACGCCGTGTGTACATGTAACGTGTGTGTACACGTAACGTTGTGTGTACACACTTAACGCCGTGTGTACACGTAACGTTGTGTGTACACACTTAACGCCGTGTGTACACGTAACGCCGTGTGTACACGTAACGTGTGTGTACACGTAACGTTGTGTGTACACACTTAACGCCGTGTGTACACGTAACGCCGTGTGTACATGTAACGTGTGTGTACACATAACGTGCGCGAGCACGTAACGTTGTGTGTACACACGTAACACCGTGTGTACATGTAACGTGTGTGTACACGTAACGTGTGTGTACACACACACGTAACGTGTGTGTACACGTAACGTATGTGTACACGTAACGTGTACGTACACATTACGTGTACACACGTTACGTGTACACGTAACGTGTGTACACGTATCCCTGAACGCCGTGTGTGTGCCCAAACGAAAAAAAAAACCCCGAAGTGATTTCCTGATCAACTGAGGTGTCGCTTATTTCCTGTTCATTTATACCCGCGAGCCGGCAGTGGTACTTCCACGTTCCTATGGCGGAGACGAGTCCACCCATTAGACCAACTGCTCGGAGAGCTTTACATCTCATCTCAACAAAATCGGAAAGGGCACCCTCAGTGGGAGCTGTCCTGCAAGCCGGCATTCGTCCGCCATTCGGGGGGGCGGGGGGCGAAGATTTCCACCGCCGAGGAGTATAATCCCAACTGAGTCGTGTGCGGCGCCATGTTTAGATTTTTGGCAAAAGTTGGCCCCTTGACGCGGGCACCCCAAACGGCGTGGTCTTTGCGAGCGCCGTCGCGGGGATCTCGAATGCGCGCCGCGAAGCGCATCTCTAACGGCTGATGCGCCCGCCGCATTAACCAGGGCAGCCTGCCAGGTTTCGAGCCGCGAGCCATCCTCTGCGGCGACGGGCGGCGGCCGACTCTTCTGAAGAACGATGCTGCTGATGGATTTTTTGCGTGCGAACGCAAGCCGTCCGGCGCTTGCGGCTGACGCTTCGGCTGACGCTGCGGTGGGATGCTGTGGTGGGATGCTGTGGTGGGACGCTTGCGGCTGACACTTGCGGCTGACGCTGTGGCTGACGCTGTGGCTGACGCTGTGGTGGGACGCTGTGGTGGGACGCTGCGGTGGGACGCTGTGGTGGGACGCTGCGGCGGGACGCTGTGGCGGGCGCAGGCCCCACCTGTGTGGAGATGCCCTGCAGGAAGAGCGCCAGGTAGAAGAGGGCGGCCCAAACCTGCGACGCCGGCATGAGTGCCGTGGCCGCGGGGAATGTGACGAAGAGGATCTCCGAACCGCTGCTGCGCGCCAGCTCCGACACCTCCAGGGACCAGCGCGACGCCAGCAAGCCCAGCCCCGCCGACAGCACCATGCCCGGCGCGAGGCTGCTTACCATGTTGGCCAGCAGCACCAGGATCGAGTCCCTGCGGCGCGGGAAAATCGACGGTGAATCGCAGACGACGTCGGACGTTCAGACCCCCCCCCCCCCCTCTGGTTCGGCACGTCGGCGGTGTGACGAGCGGCTCTCATCATCAACGCGGAGCCTAACCTAAACTAAACTGTTTATTTAATAAAACTTAAATCTTTGTTGTTATTTTAGCAGGTAAGGCCCACTGAGCTATTTTTCTCTATTTCAGAAGTGACCTGGCGATGACAAATGATAGCTCAACGAAGTGGTTTAATTTTATTATTATTTCTTATTTCTACGTGACTTTACCGGAAAAAAACAAAGAGTAATTCCTGCAGTCACGAAAGCGTCAAATGCAGTTTGGTTTATCATCACCACGTGGAAATATTATAGCGGCAGCCAAATACTCTAAACGCGTGATGTTCATTCTAAATGTGGAGGGAGAAAAATGTACACATCCACGCAAACTACAAATATACAGCAGGCATCGTCAGGGTCTGCATCGAACCCACGACCTCCTGTATACCAGGCGAGGTAGTCAACATCTCCTAGCCACTGTGATGATGATGATGACAGAGAAAGACGCAAACTCCAAATATACAGCAGCAGGCATCGTCAGGGTTGGGATCGATCCCACGACCTCCCGTATACCAGGCGAGGTAGTTAACATCTCATAGCCACCGTGATGATGATGAGAGAGAGAGAGACGCAGACTCAATTTATACAGCAGGCATCGTCAGGGTCTGGATGGAACCCACGACCTCCTGTATACCAGGCGAGGTAGTTAACATCTCCTAGCCACCTCATGGACGACTAAGCCAACGACCCGTCCGGCTGCGTTTGATCTTCGGCACCGTTAACCGGCCGAGGCCTCCGATGTGCCACAACCCGCCACTACGCCCAGCCTTGGCTGGGTGGGATGAGCACGCGCGTGGGGAGCGAGGAGGTAGGGCGCGCGCGGGGCAGGCCACACCTGTAGAAGTTGGTGTTGTAGTGATTGAAGGAGCCCATGGTGATGTGCACGCCCCAGGAGATGCCCACGGAGTGTAGGGCCTCTCGCCCTGCCACCGTCCACAGCTGACACAGCACGGGAGACCGCAATCGATTACAACGCCATCGTCGTCGTCAAATCCACTGCTGGATGAAGACCTCGCCCCGAGCCGCCGTCTCGCGACGCGACGATCCGTTGAGCTCGTCACATGGGCTGAACTTTTCGCTCCGTCTCCCAGGCGGACGTCCTCTCAGACGCGTTCCGTTCCCCGGCTGCCGCTCCGTCATCAGTCTCGATCGCCGTCCCTTCTGGCCATGGCGTGTCCGGCCCAAGCCCCCTGACCCTTCTCAACAGTGAGTGTGACGTGATCAACCTGCGTGCGTTCTGCAACCCACGTGTTCCTCTCTCTGTCAGAGTGAGTGAGTGACTTGACACAGCGGGCAGCAGAGGTGGTGCAAGTCATCTCAGTCGGTCAATCTGTAACACCTGGGTCTTGTCTCGTGACCTCGTGCCAGCGAACCTTCCGCACTTAAAATGACCTCAGAACGTACCTAGCGTGGCACAAATGCTGCGGTGATGTTATCGCCACTTAGTAGCTGTTGTTGTTGTGTGTGTGTATGGAAAATGGTGGCACGGTGGTTAGCGCCCTGCACTACGAACCTGGCGGCAAAAGTTCCATTTCCGCTCGTGACCAACACCAGTGATGATTATCTGAACTGGTCCTGGGCCTCCCAGAGGTTGACCCGGCATCAAATGATTACCCGGTGCGGCGCGTAAACATCGCGGTGGGGCACGGTGCTGGCCACCCACCGCCTCGTGTGCCGTGATCACGCGCGCGTGAGCACGCGCGCGTGATCACGTGCATGCGCCTGAGCCTCACGTCGTAGTACGCGAAGACGCTGACGTCGGGCGCGAGGAACTCCTCGATGCCGAGCAGAGCGCCATCCTGCAGGCCCATGCCCAGAATGAGAGCCAGGAAGAGGAGGTGGGGCACCGTGGACGTCACGTACTTCACCTGCGACCGTCGGGGGAGGGAGGGGGGGCAGGGGGGGGGGGGCAGCACCATCACTCCGGTTGGGAGCTCACCTCGACCGCGATTTAAACTCGCGACTTTTCGATCGCCGAGCTTTAGCAGCGAGCTGGCGTCGGGTGCTGACGAATCGACAGGAGCTCATGTGCGTGCGTGAAATGTCGACTTCAAGTGCTTTACATCTTTTTGTTTTTAGCGACTTGCCTACTTTTTGCTCATCCTGCTCTGTTTGTATTGTTTGTTGATGTAACCCGCTGACAGCACCCCCCCACCCACCCACCCCCCCCGACCCACGCCCCGACCGGACGTCCGTGAAAAGCAAGCTTCTTCGCTCCATCGGATTCCTCCTCCCGCCTCCTCCAGTCTCAATAAAGATTCTGATTCCCAAGCGTCTGAACGCGCGCGGAGCGACCTCTGACCTTGCCCAGGACGTGGATGCCTCCGGCGATGGCGGCGAAGGTGCAGAGCCACACGAGGAGGAGGCAGCCGGCGAGCTTCGCGTTGGTGCCGCCGGGCGTCGCGAAGCCGTAGGACGCGTTCCACACGGTGTCGCTGCGCGGCGAGGCCGGGCGAAACAAAGACAAAGGTCCCCCGTGTAGCCTTTGACGGGACTGCCGGGGCAAGTGCCGTTGGCGAGTGCCGCGTATTAAGGCCGGCACGTCGCACGAGGGGGTGGGTGGGTGGTCAGCACGACGGCCCCGATCGCGTTCGTCTCTCCCCAGCGCCGGTGTTCACACACCGCACGAGGTGCACATTTAGGGCTGAGTCGACGTAGCGGAGGCCCGTGACCGGATCAGATAATCGTCGCCAATGTTGGCCGTGAACGGCAATACGAAGTCGGGCGGCCGGGTTGGTAGCGCAGCGCGCTAACCATTGTGCCACCGCTCCCCCACACAAAAAAAGCGATTTCTCTCACGGCTCTGCCAGCGCTCAGACTCGGTTCAATTTTTTCCTCCCGCAAATGTTATCGCATTGCATGGCAATTTAAAAAAATAAATATATATTTTTCCTCGGAGAGTTAAAACGTTCACACGTACAGCGCATTGCGGTCTTTAAATAATAATAATTATTATTCTACCAAAATCATGAAGAAATAAATTATTACGGACGGTGACTGGGCCCAGTGTTAGCCACTTGCCCCAGAGGTTGACGGTACGAATCCAGCGGCCGTCCTGATTAATACCGGCGGTCGCGTAATAACCGTGGTGAAGCTTTGTGCTCCGCTTCACTTAGAAGATCCCGTGACAGCGCTCGCAAAGAGCGGAGGGCGCATCGTGAGCCACAGGTGTCACGGTCCAGATTTGCGCAAACGACTCAATTGGGATCTCCCAAAGCCTCACTCGGTGAGGCTTTCCTGCACTAGACAAGCATCGTGGACGAATGAACAAATACGCTGCTATACTCTTCGGTTCTCTCGGTAAAGTCACGTAGGTTAAAATTATAATAGATGGCGACGTTTCGATCGCAACACAAGCAATCGTCATCAGGTGTGACAACCACAGCAAGGACAAAACTGCAGTCTTGTCCTTGCTGTGGTCATCAGGTGGGACAACGGTTGCGATCGAAACGTGACCTATTCGTTTACTTTTCTACCCTACGTGGCTTTACCGAAAGAATCAAACGGTGTGGAATCCTGCAGTTGCGAGAGCTCCAAACCAAGCTGAAGTACGTTACTGTAACAATGACAGCAAGCCGGGGTCACAACGAGGGCGGTGGTCACCTCCAGTAGCGGTGGCCGAGCGACTGCCCCGTCAGCAGCTGCACGACGGGGGGGTCGCCGAGGGAGCCCCCCACGGCGCTGGAGTTGCCGGGGGGGCAGCGGCCCCCGTCCTGGCACGGGGCCCACGGCTGAGTCCCCTCGAACGACGCGAACAGAAAGTGGGCGCAGGTGGCGAGCAGCGCGCTGTGGTAGAGGCTCAGCAGGGAGGTGACCACCAGCGACGCCAGCCCAGCGCCTGCGGGCGCCGAAGGGTGCCAACTCGTCCGCGTTATTGTTGTTGTTGTTTCGTTGTTGTTGTTGTTGTTTGTTGTTGTGTGTGTGTGTGTGGGGAGCGGTGGTGTAGCGGTTAGCGCTACGCCGCACTACGAACCCGGCCAACACCCAGTGACAATTATCTGAACCGGTACTGGGCCTCCCCTGGGTCGACTCGGCCTCAAATGAGTACCGAGTGCGGCGTGTAAACATATCGCCATGAGGGGAGACAAAGGCGGTCGGGCGTGGTGCTGGCCACCCAGCCCCTCGTGTGCCGTGTCGGCCTTCATAGGTGCTCTCTAACAGCACTTGTCCCAACATTCTGTTAAGGCTACACGGAGGCTCTTTGTCTTTTTGTTTTCTGCATGTTGAACTTCTTTCGCACGGTACGGAGCTAGGCGTGCTAATTGAAGGTGACGGGGGGGGGGGGAGTGAATGAGTGGTTGACTAGGTGGGTGATTGGGTGAGTGGGTGAGAGTGAGTCGGTGGGTGCGTAAGTCAGCGAGGGGCCGAGTGGGTGAAGCGATTAACCAGTTGAGTGACTCGGTGAGTAAGTGATCCGGTCGGTAGGCGAATGGCTGAGCGGATGAGTGGGCGAATGGGTGAGCGGGCGAGTGCGAGGGTGAGCGGGCGAGTGCGAGGGTGAGCGGGCGAGTGCGAGGGTGAGCGGGCGAGTGCGAGGGTGAGCGGGCGAGTGCGAGGGTGAGCGGGCGAGTGCGAGGGTGAGCGGGCGAGTGCGAGGGTGAGCGGGCGAGTGCGAGGGTGAGCGGGCGAGTGCGAGGGTGAGCGGGCGAGTGCGAGGGTGAGCGGGCGAGTGCGAGGGTGAGCGGGCGAGTGCGAGGGTGAGCGGGCGAGTGCGTGGGTGCCACCTCGCAGGATGGGGGTACGGCTCCAGGAAGAGAGGCACCCGCCGGACGTGGCCTGGCCCAGCGACACCTCCAGGAAGACGAGCGGCAGCGCCAGCAGCATGAACATGAGCGCGTACACCAGCAGGAAGCAAACTGCACCAGCGAGAGGGCGGCCGTCAGGTGACCGCCACCACCACTCCAACGCCGCCGTCAACAACCGCGGCAACCGCGACGACGGTGATGATGATGGCGATGATGATGATGATGGCGATGTGATTGAGAGAGCCGCCTTCCGATAGGCCAGGGCATCTTGGAGTGCTTCACATCGCCACATCTCGTCATCTCAACACTTTTTAAAGGGCAACTCTAGTGGCAACTGTTCCTGTGGGTCTCTGTGTAAGTCTATGGGTCTGTGTGTGAGTCTATGGGTCTGTGTGTGAGTCTATGGGTCTGTGTGTGAGTCTATGGGTCTCTATGTGTGAGTCTATGGGTCTGTCTGTGAGTCTATGGGTCTTTATGTGAGTCTGTGGGTCCCTGTGTGAGTCTATGTGTCTTTATGTAAGTCTATGGGTCTCTGTGTGAGTCTATGGGTCTTTATGTGAGTCTATGTGTCTCTATGTGAGTCTGTGGGACTCTGTATAAGTCTATGGGTCTCTGTGTGAGTCTATGGGTCTCTGTGTGAGTCTATGGGTCTCTGTGTGAGTCTATGGGTCTCTGTGTGAGTCTGTGGGTCTCTGTGTGAGTCTATGTGTCTTTATGTGAGTCTCTGTGTGAGTCTGTGGGTGTTAATGTGAGTCTGTAGGTCTCTGTGTGAGTCTATGTGTCTTTATGTGAGTCTGTGGGTCTCCGTGTGAGTCTATGTGTCTTTATGTGAGTCTGTAGGTGTATGTGTGAGTCTATGTGTCTTTATGTGAATCTGTGGGCCTCTGTGTGAGTCTGTCTTTATGTGAGTCTGTGGGTCTCTGTGTGAGTCTATGTGTCTTTATGTGAGTCTGTGGGTCTCTGTGTGAGTCTTTGTGTCTTTATGTGAGTCTATGGGTCTCTGTGTGAGTCTATGTGTCTTTATGTGAGTCTATGGGTCTGTGTGTGTGTGGGTTTCTGTGTGAGTCTATGTGTCTTTATGTGAGTCTGTGGGTTTCTGTGTGAGTCTGTGTCTCTGTGCGAGTCTGTGGGTGTATGTGTGAGTCTATGGGTTTCTGTGTGAGTCTGTGGGTCTCTGTGCGAGTCTGTGGGTCTCTGTGTGAGTCTATGGGTCTCTGTGTGAGTCTATGGGTCTCTGTGTGAGTCTGTGGGTCTCTGTGTGAGTCTATGGGTCTCTGTGTGAGTCTATGGGTCTCTGTGTGAGTCTATGGGTCTCTGTGTGAGTCTATGTGTCTTTATGTGAGTCTGTGGGTCTCTGTGTGAGTCTATGTGTCTTTATGTGAGTCTATGTGTCTCTATGTGAGTCTGTGGGACTCTGTATAAGTCTATGGGTCTCTGTGTGAGTCTATGGGTCTCTGTGTGAGTCAATGGGTCTCTGTGTGAGTCTATGGGTCTCTGTGTGAGTCTGTGGGTCTCTGTGTGAGTCTATGTGTCTTTATGTGAGTCTCTGTGTGAGTCTGTGGGTGTTTATGTGAGTCTGTAGGTCTCTGTGTGAGTCTATGTGTCTTTATGTGAGTCTGTGGGTCTCCGTGTGAGTCTATGTGTCTTTATGTGAGTCTGTAGGTGTATGTGTGAGTCTATGTGTCTTTATGTGAATCTGTGGGCCTCTGTGTGAGTCTGTGTCTTTATGTGAGTCTGTGGGTCTCTGTGTGAGTCTATGTGTCTTTATGTGAGTCTGTGGGTCTCTGTGTGAGTCTTTGTGTCTTTATGTGAGTCTATGGGTCTCTGTGTGAGTCTATGTGTCTTTATGTGAGTCTATGGGTCTCTGTGTGTGTGGGTTTCTGTGTGAGTCTATGTGTCTTTATGTGAGTCTGTGGGTTTCTGTGTGAGTCTGTGTCTCTGTGCGAGTCTGTGGGTGTATGTGTGAGTCTATGGGTTTCTGTGTGAGTCTGTGGGTCTCTGTGCGAGTCTGTGGGTCTCTGTGTGAGTCTATGGGTCTCTGTGTGAGTCTATGGGTCTCTGTGTGAGTCTGTGGGTCTCTGTGTGAGTCTATGGGTCTCTGTGTGAGTCTATGGGTCTCTGTGTGAGTCTATGGGTCTCTGTGTGAGTCTATGGGTCTCTGTGTGAGTCTATGTGTCTTTATGTGAGTCTGTGGGTCTCTGTGTGAGTCTATGTGTCTTTATGTGAGTCTATGTGTCTCCATGTGAGTCTGTGGGACTCTGTATAAGTCTATGGGTCACTGTGTGAGTCAATGGGTCTCTGTGTGAGTCTATGGGTGTCTGTGTGAGTCTATGGGTCTCTGTGTGAGTCTGTGGGTCTCTGTGTGAGTCTATGTGTCTTTATGTGAGTCTCTGTGTGAGTCTGTGGGTGTTTATGTGAGTCTGTGGGTCTCTGTGTGAGTCTATGTGTCTTTATGTGAGTCTGTGGGTCTCCGTGTGAGTCTGTGTCTTTATGTGAGTCTGTGGGTGTATGTGTGAGTCTGTGTCTTTATGTGAATCTGTGGGCCTCTGTGTGAGTCTGTGTCTTTATGTGAGTCTGTGGGTCTCTGTGTGAGTCTATGTGTCGTTATGTGAGTCTGTGGGTCTCTGTGTGAGTCTATGTGTCTTTATGTGAGTCTATGGGTCTCTGTGTGAGTCTATGTGTCTTTATGTGAGTCCATGGGTCTCTGTGTGTGTGGGTTTCTGTGTGAGTCTATGTGTGTTTATGTGAGTCTGTGGGTTTCTGTGTGAGTCTGTGTCTCTGTGCGAGTCTGTGGGTGTATGTGTGAGTCTATGGGTTTCTGTGTGAGTCTGTGGGTCACTGTGCGAGTCTGTGGGTCTCTGTGTGAGTCTATGGGTCTCTGTGTGAGTCTATGGGTCTCTGCGTGAGTCTGTGGGTCTCTGTGTGAGTCTGTGGGTCTCTGTGTGAGTCTCTGGGTCTCTGTGTGAGTCTATGGGTCTCTGTGTGAGTCTATGTGTCTTTATGTGAGTCTGTGGGTCTCTGTGTGAGTCTATGTGTCTTTATGTGAGTCTGTGAGTCTCTGTGTGAGTCTGTGGGTGTTTATGTGAGTCTGTGGGTCTCTGTGTGAGTCTATGTGTCTTTATGTGAGTCTGTAGGTGTATGTGTGAGTCTATGTGTCTTTATGTGAATCTGTGGGCCTCTGTGTGAGTCTGTGTCTATATGTGAGTCTGTGGGTCTCTGTGTGAGTCTATGTGTCTTTATGTGAGTCTGTGGGTCTCTGTGTGAGTCTATATGTCTTTATGTGAGTCTATGGGTCTCTGTGTGAGTCTATGTGTCTTTATGTGAGTCTATGGGTCTCTGTGTGTGTGGGTTTCTGTGTGAGTCTATGTGTCTTTATGTGAGTCTGTGGGTTTCTGTGTGAGTCTGTGTCTCTGTGCGAGTCTGTGGGTGTATGTGTGAGTCTATGAGTTTCTGTGTGAGTCTGTGGGTCTCTGTGTGAGTCTGTGGGTTTCTGTGTGAGTCTGTGTCTCTGTGCGAGTCTGTGGGTGTATGTGTGAGTCTATGGGTTTCTGTGTGAGTCTGTGGGTCTCTGTGCGAGTCTGTGGGTCTCTGTGTGAGTCTATGGGTCTCTGTGTGAGTCTATGGTTCTCTGTGTGAGTCTGTGGGTCTCTGTGTGAGTCTATGGGTCTCTGTGTGAGTCTATAGGTTTCTGTGTGAGTCTATGGGTCTCTGTGTGCGTCTGTGGGTCTCTGTGTGAGTCGATGGGTCTCTGTGTGAGTCTGTGGGTCTCTGTGTGAGTTTGTGGGTCTCTGTGCGAGTCTGTGGGTCTCTGTGCGAGTCTGTGGGTGTATGTGTGAGTCTATGGGTTTCTGTGTGAGTCTGTGGGTCTCTGTGCGAGTCTGTGGGTCTCTGTGTGAGTCTGTGGGTCTCTGTGTGAGTCTATGGGTCTCTGTGTGAGTCGATGGGTCTCTGTGTGAGTCTGTGGGTCTCTGTGTGAGTCTGTGGGTCTCTGTGTGAGTTTGTGGGTCTCTGTGTGAGTTTGTGGATCTCTGTGCGAGTCTGTGGGTCTCTGTGCGAGTCTGTGGGTGTATGTGTGAGTCTGTGGGTCTCTGTGCGAGTCTGTGGGTCTTTGTGTGAGTCTATGGGTCTCTGTGTGAGTCTATGGGTCTCTGTACGAGTGTTTGGGCTTCTGTGCCAGTCTGTATGGTTTCTGATCATTGGCACACAAGCAAAGAATCAATCAGCTCACAACCAGCACCAATGGACAGTTAAAGATCCTAGACATTAATTTATTATGGCTGCTGTGGCAATTGCAAAAATAATGGTCATCTCTCTGCAAGACGGCATAGGAATGTGGAAGGTGAGCGGAGGTGCTGGAATAGTTGAGGAAGTTGTGGCGATGAGTAGTGGCGTGAACTGCATTGTCAGCGATGGTCTACAACCCTCAACTATATCATTACCAAGCACTCATCAATTCCAATACAGTCTGAGATTACTCATTCAGAAGTTCTTGCATTTTATACAAACATCGGTTCATTAAACACTCGCCACATTCGTCATTAACACCGCATTTACAATTGAGCGCAATTGTATACATAGGGGCTAACGTTACGGGCAATGGGCCTTCTTTAGCGTAAGGCAAGAGAGAGAGAGAGAGTGGAGAGATGGGCCGACTTCAAAGCAGAACAGAGAAATTATGTTCAACTTTTCGTTCGCTCCGCAATATCCAACCATGCGGACCGGAGGTGCGGGACATCTTACACTCCTGGAACAACGGGGCAACCCCCCGCGTACCCTATCGAGACTCTTATCTCACAGACAGACTTCCCTTGCTGTAAACGTCTGGCAGGTCACCAGCATTATTTTTGTTGTCAAGCAAAGCCAGCTGACGTGTCACGCTTTGGCCCGACTCTGCTGATGAGTCAGGCTTGAATGTCGAAATCGATTTAGAGATCGTTTCTTCTTTTTGAAATGACGCACTCCCAGAAGGCCGTGTGGCTGCTGGGATGTATACAAAAAAATATATTTAAGAAAAAAACGTTCCGTGGAGAGACGGTTACGGCAGGGAGGCTTATTGTCTTGCTTGTTCATCACGCACCCTGCTCGCTCTTTAAACAACACGAGCGAGTCCGGTTGACTGCTGGTGACATCCGCTTGCCCGGGCCGCCGTCTAACAACACGGGAGAGGCTCGCGGCAGCTCCACGAGATTTCCAAACGACGGCGCCACCGGCATCATCGTCGCGATGGGTGCGTACAATGTGACAAGCACCAAATATTTTAAGTAAAACATCCGCCGGTGTGCGCGCGCGCGCGTCGCGTGCGCGCGTCGCTGCGTCCGCACCTCCGCCGTTGCGCAGCGTGAGCATGGGCAGCGAGGTGGCGTTGTGCATGCCCACTCCGTACACGGAGCTCACGAGGAGGAACTCGAGCCGGTTGGCCCAGCGCCGCCGCTGCCGCCGCCCTCCCTCCTGCCCTGCCGTGCCAACAGCTAGCAAGACAAAAACCCAACACGCACGCGTGCGCGTGGGGGGACACGCGCACACACACACGCGCACACACACGCATGCACACGCGCACACACGCACACACACACGACAATTATTTGAACGGTGCGGGCCGAGCGCGGCGAACGCAGGTGTCCGGGTGTGCGGCGCGGGAGGATGAAAACGCGCCCCAGGGCAAAAACCTCCGCGCTCGCGCGGGCAAACGAAGGCGAACAAAACCGCGAGCGGCTGTTTCATCGCCGCTTGTTTACAACGTGGCGGAGCCCGAGCCACGGTAGGAAACGTTGAGGGCGGCCGTGCGCCCCGCAGCGAACGGAACAACGGAAGGGCCAGGAGGGTCAAAGGTCCGCGCAGCGTCGATGGCGCCGTTTGCGCCGCGCGGTTGTAGCCGCCCGTGACCGTGGCCGACGGTCAGGCGCCTCCAACTGAGTGGCTTCCCGCCTGCGGACAGATTCGGCATGTTGCTGTAGGCAGAAATTCTGCTGCCGCTGCCGTTGATGGTGGGTGAAGTGAAGTTGATCTTGTGTTTGACTCGCTCAGAGACTTTAAAGGGGCGCAGATGAGTCACGCGCATGTGCGCACGCTTGCTGAACGTCTTTCGCACGGTACGCAGCCAACCGCGCAAGTCGGAAGGTGCGGGCGAAGGACAGCAAACGGAAGCACAAAAAGCAGTGCTAAAGAAAAGAGTTTTCAATCGAGATGTTGCAAGAGTCGCTCCTGGGTGAATGAGTGGGTGAGTGAGATCACGGGTGGGTGAGTGAATGATGGTTGCGTGAGCTGATGAGTGGGTGATTCAGTGAGTGAGTTTAAGTTCAAGTAGATTTTTTTGTGTCACCCAGGTGAGACATCGAGAAAGCAGGGACGGAAGATGTTCAGAGTGAGCTGGGTCACCAATACGACAAAAGCTAAAACCGACCAAAGTAAAGTGACGAACCAACAAGGAAATCCGGTGAAAAACAACGCCATGCCGTGAGATAATGGAGTATTGCGCAAGCAACACAAATTTATATTCAAATTGTAAAAATTCCGTGTCGTCAGCTCGAGTAGAATATATTCAGACTGGGGTCAAAGTTCGCACCCTGTACGCAGCTGATTATCAGAAATGTAACGTGTGCGGTAGAAACACAAAGATCCCCCGTGTAGTCTTAACAGAATGTTGGGGCAAGTGCCGTTAGCGAGCAGCACCTATGAAGGCCGGCACGGTACACGAGGGGGTGGGTGGCCAGCACCACGCCCGACCGCCTTTGTCTCCCTAGTGGCAATGTTTACACACCGCACCAGGTACTCATTTGAGGCTGAGTCGACCTAGGGGAGGCCCGGGACCGGTTCAGATAATCGTCACCGGTGTTGGTCGGGCGTGAACGAGAATTGAACTCGGGTCGCCAGGTTCATAGCCTAACCACTAAGCTTCTCCTTCCCAGTACAAAGATAAAGGTACACAAACACACATAACGCAGTCTCTCACCTCTCCAACGTGTTAAGGCAGGACCAAAATCCTCGAAATCTTAGATGCCCCATGGCACTAAAGTGCATTGTAACGAGCATTCTCTGTTAATGCCCCAAATACCTAAAATTCCATCCCCTCAAGTAGACACACAGATACCCATATACTCACACAGAGACCCACAGACTCACACATAAACCCAAAGACTCACACATACACCCACAGACTCGCACAGAGGCCCAGACTCACACAGAGACCCATAGACTCACACAGAGACCCATATACTCACACATAAACCCACAGACTCACACATACACCCACAGACTCGCACAGAGGCCCAGACTCACACAGAGACCCATAGACTCACACAGAGACCCATATACTCACACATAAACCCACAGACTCACACATACACCCACAGACTCACACAGAGACCCACAGACTCACACAGAGACCCATAGACTCACACAGAGACCCATATACTCACACAGAGACCCACAGACTCACACGGAGACTCATATACTCACACAGAGACCCACAGACTCACACAGAGACCCACAGACTCACACAGAGACCCATAGACTTACACAGAGACCCATATACTCACACAGAGACCCACAGACTCACACGGAGACTCACAGACTCACACGGAGACTCAGAGTTTCACACAGAGATCCAAAGACTTACACAGAGACCCATAGACTGAGCAAACTTCTCTGTGAATGTCCCAAAGGACGTGGGATTCAATCGCTCAGTCCACAATAGCCCTGGGTTCTGCTTCCATCTCAATCACAATCTGATGGCGAGCTTTTCGATTATTCACATTAACTTAACATGCACTTGCACGTGACTCGTATATATCTCTGTTTACACGTTCGCACTAATTTGTGTAACCTGTGCTGCCGTCAACCTGGAGGCAAGATCTGCCTGGGCTGATCGTTAATGTTTAGTTTAGCTATCATTCATTAATTCGTGCACAAAGTTGTTTCCGCTCCGATATCTACTTGCTTCGGTGGTGTCACGTTATTTATTAATTTAGTCCTTCGCCGGCGAGCGCTGGTTGCTGTCCCCGGATGAGGCTCCTAACCTGCTCCCACGAGTCACACAAAATCCACTCGAACCCCGTTAACGTCGGAACATTATTCAGAGAGCCCCCCCCCCCGGCCAGCCAGCGAGGCCGCCTTCAACTCGCTCGCTCACAGCCACAACTTGCTTGTACATTTTGAAACCAACCATTAGACGTGCATACTTTTTTTCTCTCTCGCTGTACTTGTGCATTCGAGTGCTCACGTGGTGATGATGATGATGATGGCTCTCTCTGAGTGGCGGATTCGTGCCGGAAAGGCGCCACGTGCAGAAGCGAAACAAAAAACTGGCTTTACTTGATTTCTGAAGGCGACGTTATGTACCGCATCTTTGTTTGACATCAGGGTGCCAGATCTGAGGCCCAAAACGACAAGCGGCCAGTGACAAACAGCACTATTGAAGGTAGAATAGACAACAGTTGAAGGTAATAGATCGTAGTTAACGTATTTCATGAGTTGAGTAAGGTTACAGGAACTGGGGGGAAACGAGACGATGGGAGGGAAGAAGCAGAAAGATAAGTGGTGTGATCCCCAGTGTGGTGAGTGGGTGAGTGAGTGGGTGGGTGGGTGAGTGAGTGGATGAGTGGGTGAGTGAGTAGGTGGGTGAGTGGATGAGTGGGTCAGTGAGTGAGTGGGTGAGTGGGTGGATGAGTGGGTGAGTGGGTGGATGAGTGGGTGAGTGGATGAGTGGGTCGGTGAGTGAGTGAGTGGGTGAGTGGGTCGGTGAGTGAGTGAGTGGGTGGATCAGTGGGTGGATGAGTGGGTGAGTGGATGAGTGGGTCGGTGAGTGAGTGAGTGGGTGAGTGGAAGAGTGGGTGAGTGAATGGGTGGATGAGTGGGTGAGTGAGTAGGTGGATGAGTGGGTGAGTGAGTGGGTGAGTGGGAGGGTGAGTGGGTGATTGAGTGGGTGAGTGGGTGGATGAGTGGGTGATTGAGTGGGTGAGTGGGTGGATGAGTGGGTGAGTGAGTGGGTCGGTGAGTGAGTGGTTGAGTGGAAGGGTGAGTGTGTGATTGAGTGGGTGAGCGGGTGGATGAGTGGGTGAGTGAGTGGGTCGGTGAGTGAGTGGGTGAGTGGGTGATTGAGTGGGTGGATGAGTGGGTGAGTGGATAAGTGGGTCGGTGAGTGAGTGAGTGGGTGAGTGGGTCGGTGAGTGGGTGAGTGGGTCGGTGAGTGAGTGGATGAGTGGGTGGATGAGTGGGTGAGTGGATGAGTGGGTCGGTGAGTGAGTGAGTGGGTGAGTGGAAGAGTGGGTGAGTAAATGGGTGGATGAGTGGGTGAGTGAGCAGGTGGATGAGTGGGTGAGTGAGTGGGTGAGTGGGAGGGTGAGTGGGTGATTGAGTGGGTGAGTGAGTGGGTGAGTGGGTCGGTGAGTGAGTGGGTGAATGGAAGGGTGAGTGGGTGATTGAGTGAGTGATTGAGTGGGTGAGTGGGTGGATGAGTGGGTGAGTGAGTGGGTCGGTGAGTGAGTGGTTGAGTGGAAAGGTGAGTGTGTGATTGAGTGGGTGAGCGGGTGGATGAGTGGGTGAGTGAGTGGGTCGGTGAGTGAGTGGGTGAGTGGGTGATTGAGTGGGTGAGTGGGTGGATGAGTGGGTGAGTGGATGAGTGGGTCGGTGAGTGAGTGAGTGGGTGAGTGGGTCGGTGAGTGAGTGAGTGGGTGGATGAGTGGGTGGATGAGTGGGTGAGTGGATGAGTGGGTCGGTGAGTGAGTGAGTGGAAGAGTGGGTGAGTGAGTGGGTGGATGAGTGGGTGAGTGAGTAGGTGGATGAGTGGGTGAGTGAGTGGGTGAGTGAGTGAGTGGGTCGGTGAGTGAGTGAGTGGGTGAGTGGGAGGGTGAGTGGGTGATTGAGTGGGTGGATGAGTGGGTGAGTGAGTGGGTGAGTGGGTCGGTGAGTGAGTGAGTGGGTGGATGAGTGGGTGGATGAGTGGGTGAGTGGATGAGTGGGTCGGTGAGTGAGTGGGTGAGTGGGTCGGTGAGTGAGTGAGTGGGTGGATGAGTGGGTGAGTGAGTAGGTGGATGAGTGGGTGAGTGGATGAGTGGGTCGGTGAGTGAGTGAGTGGGTGAGTGGAAGAGTGGGTGAGTGAATGGGTGGATGAGTGGGTGAGTGAGTAGGTGGATGAGTGGGTGAGTGAGTGGGTGAGTGAGTGAGTGGGTCGGTGAGTGAGTGGGTGAGTGGGAGGGTGAGTGGGTGATTGAGTGGGTGAGTGGGTGGATGAGTGGGTGAGTGAGTGGGTGAGTGGGTCGGTGAGTGAGTGGGTGAGTGGAAGGGTGAGTGGGTGATTGAGTGGGTGAGTGGGTGGATGAGTGGGTGAGTGGGTCGGTGAGTGAGTGGGTGAGTGAGTGGGTGAGTAGGAGGGTGAGTGTGTGATTGAGTGGGTGAGTGGGTGGATGAGTGGGTGAGTGGATGAGTGGGTCGGTGAGTGAGTGAGTGGGTGAGTGGGTCGGTGAGTGAGTGA